CACCCACGTTATCCAGAGTTAGTATTCTTCTTTAAAGTCCACTGATTGTAGATGTTAACCACAGCTACAAAACACCTTCATAGCAATACCCAGACTGGTGTTCGAGTACCTGGGGACTATAAGTTAGCTTAGTGGCCATACAAACCTCACAGTGGTCTAATTAGTAGGGAAGCTAAGGGAGAATTTGGACTTACATCAGGGGATACAGGGCCTGGGACCCTGAGGGCTCCAGGTCCCTCCTCTCCTGCCTTTCCCTCCTCCGGTTCTCGTGGTTCCTGCCCAGGCTGACCCAGGGCATCCAAAGGCCATCTCCCCTACAGGGGAACTCCGGACCGGGAGAGGCCGGATATGCTCAGCAGAGGACACCCTTGAACGGGTCCCGTGGCAGGGATTACTAGCCAGAGCTGGGCTTGCAGAAGCCACGACAGGCCCGGGATCTAATTCTGCTTTAGCCGCTGACTGACTCGGGTCCTGTGGTAGTAGTCCCTGCATTAATAGTTCCTGCATCTCTCTAGAAATGATGGAGAATGGACCCTACCTGCCCGCCCCCGTCCCCGCATGGCCAAATCAGGTGATCCGAGAGCCAGGGCAGCTCTCACAGGAAAGAGGTTTGAGCTTTTTATCTCTTCTCCTATGTTGCTTACAAAGTAGCGGGGGAGAAGGCCATGAATGCAGCCAACAAGATACAATAGGAACAGAGGGTGCTGCTCCAAGGCTGAAACCCAACTGGGAGTGTGGCTCCACCCTCATGTCAGGATATATCTTCCCTGAGCTCCTAGCTCTTGAAGCACCGATTTTCCAAGTGCTTCCTCTCTGTTCTGCTTCGTGCGCATCCTTGGCCGTAGCTTGCAAGTGAACAAGTGGTTGCAATGGCAGAAATCCTCCCTAACATGAAGCGGGAGATAGAGCTATCTATGGCCGAAGAGCTGGCTCCTGAAAACCGTGAGCAAGGTCAAGAGTCCCTGATGATAGAAGGTGAGGATCCCCTGAAATGTCCCTTCCCTTGGGTGTCAGCCCCTGAGAAGATGTGTGTGTGGCTGGGCAGACAGTCATATATATGCATATTTGTGTTTGCACGCATGTGTGGGTATGTGTGATTGTGTCTTGGTGTGCATATATATTTATTTCTGCCTTGAGTGACAGGGAGCTCGGGGGAAAGAGATTAATGTTAGCATTTTGCAGCCCATGACAGAGGAGGAGGATGGGGCCAACATGTGTGGTCCCTTGCTTTCCCCTTCGTCCAAGCCACCACTGTGTCTGTCTATTGCAAGATATTCAGAGGGCTCAATTTAGAAGATCAAGCAGGTCAATTCCCTCTCCTAACCCTCTAATGCCTTCTCCTGCCCTTTAGAGTGAAATCCAAACTTCTTACCATGATCTATAAAATCTGATCAAGGTCACCTCCTCAACATATTTCATGCTGTGGTGTGGTGACCCACTCCACACTGCATTTATGCTTGCCCTTGTAACACCTCAAGATTGGTTCTTCCTCACAGCACTTGTGCTAGCTGTGCCCTCTGCCAGGAATACCCTTTTCCTAGATTTTCCATGGCCAGGCTCTTTCTCATTCAGGTCTCTACCTCATGTTGTTTCTGACTTTTCTAGAAGTAGCCCCTTCCTTCTGTCATGTTGCCCTGTTTTTATCATTTTGGAAGCATGTGTCTCTTGATCTGAATCTACACTGATGGGTTATTTTCTCTTTTGCCCCTCACTTCCCTTGTATACACACAGACAGTCAGTTTCTTGACTGCTCCAATCTTGTCTCTTGATCATTACTCTGTCTAGTAACTTACCTAGCCCAGAGCTTGGCCCTCAGTAAATACTTGCTAAATATTTGAACAGATGAAGAAACTGAGGCCTGATCGGCTAGTGGAGAGCAGTGAATGGATGTTGAGTGACTCCTAAGAAGTTTGGGGACCCAACCTCTTTCTGGTGGTGTGTCCTGTGCCTGCCCAGGAAGCCTCTATGGGTATTCCTAGGGCCTTTGTTTTTCTCCCCAGAAGTGTTAGAGCGTGCATACTCGTCCCTGGGTGCCTCTCAGCGGAAAGAGAAGTTGGAGTCAAAGGCTGCTGGCTCTGCTGCAGGCCAATCGATGTGGAATCTGGCTGCCACCTGGCCCAAGAAAGTGGTACTCTATGGGGCCTTTGGCATGTGGTGGCTGGGCTGGGGTTGGGAGTATTGGCTATAGGGGCTGCAGCCTGACGATGTTGACTTGAGGGGAGGAGGAGGAAGGCAAATGAGGGCAAGGACGTCCAGCAAGAGGTCAGAGTTATCCTTTTGTAAGCTGGGAGTTCAACCTTGGGGGTCCAGAATGCCTGAAGCACATAATGCTTGGGGAGTACATAGATACTTTACTCTGCAAAACTCCAGTGTGTGCCAAATGACATTTTCCTTTATCAAAAAATAAATAAGCATATGTATTGTTCTCTCTATGTAGCTAAATATATCTATATTTCTCTACCTATCTATATTTTATATATAACATATAAATATATTTCTACATTAAATATATAATGTAAATATATTTCAATAAAAAATTATATATTTCAGGGCTGGGACAAGGGTCAAGCAAATGAGGTTTCTGTGCTTCCTAGCTCTTAGGAAATCCAGTCAATTGAATCTAACCATTTTGTAGCCAATCTTTTAAGCTACATTCACCAAGGGTAAACGAATGTTTTAGAAAAAATGATGGTCATATCGTTGCAAAGGATACTGGGAAAAGGCAGCTATTTTGGAGAGGAGGAAAGCCTATCTGTTCTAGGGAATCACATGAGTCCTCCTAGCTCTGTAACAGATTATGTTAGCTACATTCAGCACGGCTGAGGGCAAGTTTTGGAAAAATGGTTGTTGCACTGTTGCAACGGTTACTGAGGAAAGGCAACAAGGTTGGGGAACGGAGGACCTGACTGTTCTAGAGAACGGGGTTAAGATAAATGCTGAAATAATGTCACTCCCAATGAATAAAGAGAAAGAGGAAATGTGTTCCCAGGCCAATGACCTCCTGGGAATGAAAATAAGCCAAATCAATCTTCTCCAGCAGGTCAGACTCCAGCACGCCACTCCTGCCCTTAAGATTGAGGAGGTGGTGGTGGTGGTGTAACCTCTGGATTAATTAAAGTTACCTGTTAGGCCCAGAGGAGTACACTTTTAAAAAAAGAGTCATTATATTGACCTTAGATATCAATTTAGACTTTTAAAGTTAGGAAATTCAATTTATCAATTGTATTTATTTATCTTTTTTTTAATAAAAAAGATAATGGAACTCTTAATGCCTTTGAAAGAACCACAACATGAAAGGACAAAATATTAATAATAATAATAATAATAATAATAATAATAATAATGGTACTATTCTGCTGATTTGGGGAGAAAAAGTAATGTGCCTTAAAAAGTACATGAAAATAAAATGAACACTCTTTGAAATAATTAACAGAGGGAAGCTGGGACTTGCTGCAGTTCATAGATTTTCCTAATTTCCATCAGATTTATATAAAGCTCCCATGTTTTACAGTGTACGTAATTCTAAATAGAAGGTTTCTAAAATTAAAATCCAAAAAGCAATAAGACAACTGTTTTTGAACAGTTAGACTTGCCTTATGATGGGGGAATCATAATAAGTTATCATCAACTTGCAGATGTTAAATCAATTTTTATTACATTGATGTGTTAAAACAAACTATTGTCACACACTTCAGCCACCAGCCCCTCACCCTTATTTTGCCTTCAAATCTCTCAAAAAGTTTTCTGTTGTTGGCATTCTGATCCCAATTTTTAGGAAAATCAAGGGGATGCTGTAGAAATTGTTCTAGGAGACACTCTCATCATTTTCCTCTTTATAGTCCTGGGGTGTTCTGGACACCCTGTCTTTTTAGTGCTATTTTTGAGGTTTCTAAAGAAGAAGAAGGGGAATGAGGGGGAGGAGGGGGAGGATGGGGAGGAGGGAGAGGAGGGGGAGGAGGGAGGGAGGGAGGGAATTAGTGAAGCTGTGAAGCACTGTTCACAAAAATAATGTCACACCAGTGTCTATTAGCCCTTTTGAGAAAGATAAAGTTTGCATTATTACAACAAATAGAGTATGGTGGCAGAGTCCCTATGAAAATCATTTATACACAAATTGTCCCACCTTGCAGTTGAATGATGCTCTTAAGAAGAGAAGGGTGCTGCACCTCTTTCTCAGGTGACAGGCGAGCCTTGACTGTCTATTTTCTTTTTAACAATGAGGCAAATAGAAGAGCCAACCCGGACCTCTGAGTCCTGGTGAGGCCTGTCAGACGGCAGGTTCTCCTTCAGCAGGTGGGGCTGAGGAACTGGCTGTTACACTGGGGCATTCTTAAATGCCAGAATGAAGAGGTTTCTACTTGGCAGCACTACCACCCCCACTTTCCCATTCACTTGCTTCCGGTATGGGCTTGCAGGGAAGTGCCTGGCTGCCAGCCAGGTGGGGTGGGAGGGGTGGATGACTGTCCCACATTTCAGTTAATGCTCCTGTTTTCCACCCAGGTCCTCAAGACATCCCCAGTGTCCCTGCAGCTTCCAAGTACAGGTCCCCTCTGCCGGACCGAGGGGGTCCCTCCTCAGCTGCTCCGCATCTGCTTTGGAGCCATGCTGAGGCCTGCTTCGCTCACCTTTGTTGTTGGCATTTTCTGAATTCTACAATCTTGTTGGGCTCTCCCATTTTCTGTTGCCTTCCCCGTTATCTTCTTTTTTTATGAGCTTATACAATTTTACTGTCTTCACTGTCAGTTTAATGGAGTCTTAAGGGGAAGCAGTGTCAAATATGAGAGGGATCACAGTGTAATGGTTATGAGCACAACCTCTGGAACAAAATGTCCTGGGTTCCAACTTCCCTTCTGCTACTTACCAGTTGTGTGACTTGGGCAAGTTATTTCACCTCTCTGTGTCTCCGTTTTCCCATCTTTCAAAATGGGGTGATGGCAATACCTGTTTCAAAGGGTCACGATGAACATTTCATGGCTTGATAGTGGTAAGAGGATGATGACATGGCCCCTAGCATGTGGTAGGTATCTGTTAAAAAAGTATCCTGTGAAATATCTCATCTTGCACTAGAAACCCTGTGACTTCCAGGGGGTGCAGGTGCACCATTGCTCCTGACTGACTGTCCCTTTCCTTAGGGGACCCAGCGGCAGAAACCCATGATGTCGAGTAAAGCAAGACGTGAGGCTGTCCAACCCCGGGGGTATCCTGGCAGCTTCCCAGGCATGAGGGTCGTTTACGAGTGGTAAGATGGATCCCAGAGACCCTGCAAGAGGAAAGCAGGAGGTCATTGGGCAGGGACCAGGAGGGGCCAGAGGGGCCCGTCAGCAGACTGGCCAGGCAGGACTTGTGAGCAGCTGGCCGTGCTGGAAGAGCCGGGGACCTGTTTCCTCCTCGCCACAGCCCTTGAGCCTCCTGGCCCCTTGCCCACTCAAGGCCTCCAAGAGCTCTGTGGCTGGGCTGGGCTGGCTTGTAGCCCTCAGGCCCCAGGTCCCACTTACCAAGGAAAGGAATGACTGGAGGCCGAGAGAGTCACTGCCCAAGCAATCTCCTGACCTTACCCGCTTGCCCTCATGGCCTTCCTGTGCTTCCTGCCAGGCTTGGCCTGGGACAACCAGCTGCTCTGAGCCGCTGTCCTTTCTTCTTTTCCAGCAACCCAGAGGCAGATGTGATTGCAGAGATTGGCCTGGAAGAGCTCAGTGGACTGGAGATTGAAGTCATGAGAAAGCAGGTGAGTGTCTGCTGTGCCAGGGACCCACTTGGAGGGTGGAAGCGGAATCATGGTGTTTTGGGGTGGGTGGCCTTGACAGTGATGAGGCTGCCCGCCATTGCAGCCATCTTACCTTCTAGCAGCCGAGGTGAAGTCAGGCTCCCCTCTCCTTCCTACCAGTCCCTGTGGCTCTGGCGTCCCATCTTGATGCTTAGGCATAAGCCTGTGTCTTTGGGGAGATGTGGAAAGGGAATAGGAGAAGAGAAAAGGAGGACAAAGAGGGAACATAGGAGGACAGAGAAGTCTGCAGAAGGAACGGAGCTCAGAGGTCTGAGAGAGGGGTCTCAGACCAAGCCCAGGTCTTCTCAGGCTGAGAGCGCAGCAGCCATGGGCATGGGTGTGGAGGGCCATTGGCCTGGGGGCCCTCTCTGGCCTCTGAGTGTCACCCCATCCTGGGGCCCTCACTCCCGTGCTGCTGCTGCTGCCCCGACGCCAGTACACCCCAGCATTGAAATGTCCGTTTCCGCTCACGCTGCCCAGCTGGGAAGGGCTGGCTTCTTCCGGACAACTGGATGCTCATCGAGGAGGGGGCAAGGCAGCTGGGCCCGCCGACACAGGCAGCCCGACCCACCCCAGGCCCCTGTTCTCAGTTGCTCTGCCTGCTTCTTACCAGGAGGCACTTTGGCCTCCCAAAAGGCAACAAAGGCCCCTCCTGTTTGAACTTCATACATTTCCCACTGCTAGGCTGTGGGCTTCTCCAGAAGAGCCTTGCTCACCAGCCTACTCTTGGTCTTTCTGCAGATGTATATGATCACTGAGCGTCTGTGTGCCCTGGAGGACCAAGTCACCACCTGGCGTTACAGGGGAGCTGCATTCCTCACCATGCTGGTGTCGATCTGTGCGGTCAACCTGTGGCAGTGGCTGCGCCGCTAATGCTTCACGCAGCACACTGCTGCCAGAGCCCTCTCTTCCTCCCCCCTCTTCCCTTTTCTCCCTGGGCCACCCCTGCCCATCCTCCTTCAGTCACCTGGCAGCCCTGCCTGCAGTGGCAGGGCCATTTTCCAACTCTGGGGACACCCTAGCTGCTGGGAGATGAAGGAGGTGTGCCCATTGGAAGGTCTGCATGGGCTGAGCTGCAGCCCCTTTGGAGGGTGAGGTGGGTGGCATCTGACCTCTGCAGTAACACCAGTGGCAGGCGCTTCTTGCCTTCCCATCTGGGCTCCACGGTGACCCTCTTGTCCTTTCTGTTCCATCCTATGTGGCAGGGGCTTGGCTACATTTTCCCGCTTTCTTCCATGTTGTATACAGGGCTCTGCATTGAGAAAATGCTCAATAAAGTTGAGTAATAGCAGCAAACCCTGGTGGCTGAGTTTCTTGTATCCAGGACTCATGTGGGGCCCTGGATGTCCCCAGCCCAAGCAGGGGCTTCCTCAAAGGCAGGGCTTGTAAGATCCTTCCTGTTGGACTCAGGCCAGCGAGTACCTGCCAAGAAGTGCTTCTGCGGCAGCTTGTCCTGGCCAGGCGTAGCAGGGATTCAATCGGAGGAAATCTCCTGGAAGGGGCCAGAAAACTTTCCATTTCCCTATGAAGAAATCCAGTCCCAGAGAAGGTGAACATGGCTCCGGGGTTGTCCAGCAAGACCAGGTCTAGGGTGTGTTCTCCTGAGTCCCTCCTACAGACTTGCTGGGGATGAGGCCCTGACTCATCTCTCGAGGCCCGATGGGAGGCCACACGGTGAGGCTTTGAACCCCATGTCCACAGCCCTGTGAAGCTCACCTCAGACAGGGTGGATTGCTAGGTGGAGCAGTGGGACTTGGCCTGAGCAGACGGGAATGTCACTGCTTAGGGGTAAATGTGCTAGGCTGCAGGAGGCCTTTGGAAGAGCTGCTGCCCCTTTCCTTGGGACCAAGGGATAAATTCATGTCTCTTGGAGGGCAGGGGCCCAGAACGTTCTCGGTGGCTTTGGTGGCTAACCAGACCATCTCCAACCCCCCAAATTTGTCATGCCTTCTTTGTCTATAAAGATGAGAGAGTGTGTTAGTCATGAGATATAAAATACACATGATCGTGGGGTGGGAGCAGTGAGGGAGAGTCAGATAAGGAGAGTGGAGGGAGGCAGAGTGGGGGAAACTTGAGTCTTCAAGCCTGCTCTGCCTCCGCCCCACTCCTCTCTGGTCCTCTGTGGCTCCTGTACAATGAGGGGGTCCCTCCACTCCTGATTCTCTGGGGCCTGCAATACTTCTGAGAACCAAGAGGCCTGGGAAGAACCTGGAGCCCCCCTGCCCCCTTCCAATGGGCCCTGGAGCCCCAGGAATCAGTGGAGGGCTAGGAGGAAGGCTGGGGGACCTCCTTGCCGGTCACACCCCCCACTCCCCACAGTCTCAGGGCAGACCCAAGGTGCAGGGACTAAAGAAGGGGAGCAGCTCACCATTCAGGCTCAGTGAGGGGCAGCATGCATGGCTTCCTGCCATCAGCCCCAAACCCCCACTGCCTTTGATGACATCGAAGGCAAACCGTGCAGAGTGGAGCGGCCTGGAGCTAAGGGTGGCAGGAGACCTGTCCCAGCCAGAGAGCTAAGAGGAAGAGGCTGCTGTGGGGCGGGGCAAGGCCTGCCTTTGGGACATGGGTGTGCGTGAGCTGACACAAACCTGTTTGCAGAGAAAGTCTGGTTGAAAATATGTTGTGAAAGAAAGGCTCACCCTTGGGAGCAATTTAGCCGAGATGCAAACAAACAGTGCGGCGGCCCCTTGGAGAAACGCCGCCTGGGCTGGGGGAGCTAAGGTGGAGCCTGTGCCTGGGCCCTGGCTGCCCCTCCGCCCACCCTGAGGCGTGACTGCGTGGCTGTTCCTAGAGCTGCCTGCTCGCTCCATCTCCAGGCAGCCCCAGAGGGAAATGGAAGCCGGAGCTGCCCCGTGCCGGCCTCCACGGCAGCCTGGGAGACAGGCAGTGGGACCCGCTACAGGGTTCTGTGAGGGGTCCTATTGTGGAGGCTGGCACCTCCTGACTGACCCTCTGGCTATTACCTGTGTGAAACATCTGCCTCCTTGATGCTATTTCCTTGCCAGGATGCCCTGGCCTAGCCCAAGCCCTCCAGCATGAGGCCAATCCTCTCCAAAGACGCCTGGAACTTCCCCACGAATAAGTGGAGGGGAAGGACGGCACTGAGGGAGGGGGTTCTTGTGCAGCATGCTGTTGATTGCTCCTCTGAAAATGTCCATGGTTTGCCTAGGTTTGGTATTAGAGGGGAGCCAGGCCCCCCACAGGATCATGAGCTTCTTGAGGGCAGGGACTAGCTTCCATTGCCGTCCACATCCGTGGCACCCAGCAGAAGTAAGTGGCTGGCCAGAAGGCCTCCCACCAGGGTCCCAAGGGAGCAATCCTGGCCCGATTGCTTCCTGAAGGGACAGCTGGCTTTGCCTTGGTCATACAAGCCTGGCTTTTAGGGCAGGGCATGCCTGCCCTGGAAAATTCTTCTAAAGTCAGCCAATTCTGACCACTACTTTCCCTGGTGCACCTACTATGTGCCGGCACGTTGCACTTTAAAAATATTGAATTACACAAATCCTGCTTGATGATATCCTCCTCCTGAAAAATGCCAGCATTACAGGTGTCATTAACAAAGCCCCTTGTCGGGCCGGCCGAGTGGCGCAATGGTTAAGAACTGGCTTGGGACACCAGAGGACCCCGGTTTGGATCCCACATATGAGGGCCAGTGACACTGCCCTCTACAGCTAAGATGCTGAACAACAGCTCAACCTGGAGCTGGGCTGCCGTGAGTCGCCGGCGACGGCGTAGGCTACAGCCCCTGTGGCAGTGGGTTGCCATGGGCTACCGTGTGTAGCCAGCAGCCAGCGTGAGTGGCCAGCAGCCAGTGTGAGCGGCCGTCCAGAAGCCGGCGACTGATCTGCCTCACCCGGGAAGAGCGCAATGATGGTGCCAACTTGGGCCAGTGAAGCAACGTCCTCCACAACTAGACTGAAGAACAAAATGACAGCAACTTGTCTGTCTTCTTTCCCCCAATTCCCAGCATTGTTCCCATCCCCTCAATTCCCCAATAAAAATCTTTAAAAAAAAAAGCCCCTTGTCTCCCAATATCAAGCCTCCCACCCCCGAGCTAACTCCCATGCTTGGCTTGGATGCATCCTTGCAAACCCTCGCTGTCACATGCAGATATGTGCGCCTGTATGTGTCCCAGGCTTGGTGCACAGGGTCTCATGTGAGCGCCCCATGTAGCCCTCTGAGAGAGGGGCCAGTCCCCCAAGGCCTGCGTGCAGGTGAGGAAAGCTGGTTATACTGCTGTGCTGGGCTGGCCCCGGCAGAAGCTGAAACTCAATATTCCAGGTTTCCTGTCTCAGGTTGGCTTCCCAGCAGCTGTGGGGAGGTGGGCTGAGGAAGGTGGGCATGTGGGTGGGGAGGCGAGTGTGCGTGGTGGAGGCATTGTTGTACCTGGGAGCAGCCTGAAATCCTGGCTTCGTCAAAAGGAGCAAATTGGAATAGATCTGTATGCTATGGGGGGAGGGGAGAGTGGGGCGGCGGATTGAGGGAGGGAGGTTGTCTCTTTGAGGAGTAAAAAGTATAACTATTGAACTGTGTTGTACAGCTGAAACTAATTTAAAAAAATGTTTATTCTCCCCCCCGCCCCCCCAAAGAAAAGGAGCCAATGACTCTCCATCTGAGGGCTCTTGCCCACTTTCCTTTCTCCAGCCCCAGCCTCTCTTGGAGGCCAAGTCCAGGGAGGCCTGGAGGGGAAGGCATGGATGTCCCCTCAACCCTGCCTCATCCCAGGTACCTCTTCTCTCACCCAGGTTTCTCCCTAGCTTGCCCTCTGGCCAGGTAGGCTGGCTTAGACTGTGACTAAGGCTGGGAGGCAGGTGCATGAGGGCAGTGAGCTGGTGGCTGTGAGTCCCCAGACAAAAAGCCCTGAGCGATGCATGTTCCATGTAAGGGAGGGCTCCTCGGGGAGCTTGGGAGGGGCTGGTGCTTGGGTCTAAGCAGACAAGCAGCTTCCATATCTGGGCAGCCCAGCATCCAGCCCTCACCTGCTGATAGACGGGGCCTACAGTGAGAGGGTCAGGTGTCCAGCCAGGAGGCAGGAAGCTTCTCCAGTGGGCAGGTGCCACCCCGGGCCAGGGCCTCGAGTTTGCTTCAGCCGTGGGCATGAGCTCCCCTGGGCCACCGCCAGCCTCCCCCGCTGGCATCGGGCAAGCTGGAGCAGCTCTCTGACTGGGAGGCTGCCAGCTGTGTGGGGGTTCAAGACCCTACTGGCCTGGGGACAGGAGCACCAGGAGGTCTCTGCTAGCTTCAGGTGCTGATGCTTCCCCAAGAGCTTGGCTCTGATCGGAGGCTTTGCAGAGAGACCAACGGATGCTGACTGTGGCCGGGGACATCCTGCCTCTGAAGCCATCTGATTGGTGAGGAAAGGGGCTGGTGCCGGGCCAAGGTAGCCACTGACCAAGGCCTGGCACCTTCCTACGGCCACAGGCCAGTGGCCTCCACGGGGTTGGGGCTGGAGCTCATGACAGCATGCAGGTCCCAGAGCCAGGCTTGACCTGGGCTCTCGCATGCCTGGTCTCCCCAGGTTGCTGAGGGAAAGTGGCTGTGGGAGGAAACTTTGTCCCTTGTCAAAGCAGCCAAATGCAATACTGGGGGCTCTAGGAGTATCGAGGCACTGGGTGCTGCGCTAGGCTTGCCCCACGGCAGCTGAGCCTTTGTTTTCTCCTAGGAGTGCGACAAGGAGGGTGGCTGGAGTAGGCTTGCAGCAGAGGGGCCAAGGGGCTCCCTGGTCAGGCAGGGTTTGGTAGGAGAGAAGGAGGAGCCTGTAGACCTCACCACCTGCACCTGCCTTCCCTGTCTGCCTGGTGTAAGGCATTTCTGGGCACCCCAGCCTCAGGGCATGGGGAGTGTGTCCCTTGGAGCTCCATGGCTCTCTGCATATGAGGGGCAATGGAGGTAGGGGTGGAAGGTTATGTGTGCTTCTCCCAGAAAACCTGGTGGGATTGTGGCCTTTGCTTTCAACTCTTCAAGCTGCACCCTGGTATCCTTGGGAAAGCCTAGAGGGAAGTCGCCTGCTGTGAGCCTCTGAGGCTTTGGGAGCCTGCCCCTCGGCCATCTGGGCAAATGCATCTGCAGTGAGGCCTTTGCAGCTTCTGGCTGAGGGAAGATTCTAGTGCCAGGCAGCAAGCCTGGAGTAGAAACAGGCTCCCCATTCTGGCCTTCCAGCTCAGCTTGAGCCCAGACCAGCAAGTGTCGACTCCATCCGTGTCACACTGTGGCCGTAGGAGGCAGCTAGTGCTGGGGTGGCCT